CATTTGACCAAAAAATATTAAAGGGAGGTTATTTTATCAATATCATTGTTTTACTAGAATTTTTTATCAAATCCACCTATTTTTACGGGGATAATAGAAAAATAAATGCTTTTTTAAGTAATAGACCCTCCGGCGGCGAACAGAGAGAGACGAACGTGCTTGTAGAGAGAGAGATTGAGTGTGCGTGTGAGACTGGTTGGGTCATTTTATTGAATACAATTTCTTAGATTTTTGGATAATTTGATTTATTTAAATAATTATTTACAATTACATATGTATTAATATTAAAAAATGCATATTTTTATCCGATAAAATGTTATGTTTATTTTTTTTAAATAAACGAACACGAGACAGTATAATACAGCTTATCTACTATTTAACATTTTTAATTTAAACTCGTAAAATAACATTTAATTTTTCACGAAACTTTTAATTTCTTTTTCTTTTACAATATCATCTCAACCTCTGTATTTTGACGAACTGAATTGGTAAAAAAACGACCTTTTGTTTTCGAGTTACACCCGACCCCAAGTCGAGTCATATTTGCATAAAATCAAATAAAATCGACCACAGGTCAAGTCTGATCGAACCCACAATTCTAATTAATAATAAGATAAGCAATGAAAATGCGTAAGAACATATTAACAACACAATGAAAAATGTGTAGTATGAAGATTGTTTCCTTTTCCACTTAAAGGATGGATCTCATCCCTTCAAATCTGAACATAAACTACAAAATTCTCCTCGAGAAAGATTCAATATTTATATTTCCTCCCCAGAATTCTGTTGTTAAATACACTAACTGTTCTATACAAAGTCCCAGGAGCAATCTCCCTCGTCGGAACAAAACTGGAAAAAAAAAAATAAATGCAATTAGAAAGAAATTTGTCGGAAAACGGTGTATTTATCTGGGGAAACTCGGAACTCCCGCTCTTTCACTTTCAACAATGTTTCTCGAGAGCATGTTACAGTTGCTGGGGAGGATTGAACAATCGGATGAAGATGTTACATTCGCTGATTAAAAAATTATCTCCTTCAAGATCAGAAGAACAAGCATGATGAAACACATGATTACGAGCACTGTAGCGCACATAACCATACCACCTTGTTTCTGAGTTCTCTCTGCCTGCGATTCCAACAAAAATTAATTAGAATTGTTTTATGTCGAAAATGAAGAAGAAGTGTGAATACAAAAGGTTCGATGATAAAGCTCGGGGAGGGTAAGAGAAAGAATGAGAACCTTCTGCAACTGTTTCAGGCCCTCATCTACAGATGCAGCCACGTTTGTTATATTGTAATCTATCCTGTCAACAATAGTGCCCTGTTTGGAGACAAAAAAATTCAATTTATATCGGTATTATATTTAGTTTATAAGAAGCTTTTGGGATGACATATAGATTCTAACCTGATCAATCACCAGGACTGATAAATCCTTCATAATTTGGGCAAGATCATTGACTGACTCAACAACCTACCAAATTCCACGAAAATACACCAAATGATAATTAATGTCTCAAGTGTTGTAAATAACCAAGAAACAAACCTGGAACTCTTGACCTACCTGTTGAATTTCCCTCTCCCTTTCCGCAGTGAATGCCTCACTTTTCTTCAACTTGGCCATTTGATGTTCGCTGAATCCCTAAAACGTGATAGATTCATTACAAATTAAGTTAAAGCGTGCATCAGAGATAAATTTGAAGGATTGTAAAGTAAAATGATTATTGGCTTGTCAATAGATAAAGATGGTATTTTAGCACTAGAACAGGAACTAAGGGTTCCATTTCCACCAAGGAGCAGACTAGGAGGGAAGAAATATCTAATCATCATATTCGTCGCCAAGCACAACTAAGGTCAAAATAAACATTCAATTTCTTTTGGTGCTTCCTTCTTACGCACAGATCGAAAGTTCTTTCAAGCTAAATAGTTGACCTAAACATGCTCAATTTACTTTTAGGCTGTTCTTAAGAGTACTCTGTTCAGGTCTGAAGTCGTTTCCTATGGAACCCATCGATTCAAGAAACAGTCCTATTAAGGCAAAATCTGTAATTATGAGGGTTCAAGAAAAGGAATAACATGTAGCCATCATATAATCGTCTAGCTCATCATCTGTGCATGAAAATAATAAATTGAAGAAATATATTTATGTCAAACATAAATGAAGGTAATCTGCATACCATGTCATCAGAATCATCATCATCTCTCCTAGATTTGCTCCCATTCAAGTTCATTTCCAAGTCGACCCCATCTAGACCCTACAATAAGCAGAGATGCGTTGAGGAATATGGAGAAACAGAGTTCTTGACTGTAAAAAATTGATGTACAATAAATTATTGAGCATTTCAGCAGGAGAAACCTCCAAAAAACCATTTCTAATCATAAACAAGAAGACCAATAAATCCATGAAATTTGATAGCATATAAAATCCAATGAAATGAGGCAGTCACCTCTTTTTGCTGCCGAAGTCGCTGTAAATATGTGGATTGCTTTCGGCGTAGCTCCATTGAAAGGGTTTGAAGGTCGGTGGCTAGAGAGCGCTGCCATCAATATACAATACCGTGAGGCGTAAGCACAATAATCCAAAAGGATCTTTGAATATTTATGAGAAGTGATCAATATTTTTCTGTGTAAAGAAGAGAGAACTGACAATAACGGTGAAACATGAGCAATATTACATTGTCAACAAGAGTGGTCATTCATTCATGATAATAGCTGTGAGCATAGTTATACAATACAGTAACTCGTAATCAAATTCACCACCACCAAGTCACTGGATTCTCACTAAATTTTACCAAGTCCAACTGAACTTCGAGGCATCTTTATCCTCATTTCCCGCCACAGAGTTAAAATGTTTATAACTTAAAACCTTGTCAGCGCTGAAAAAAGTGCGGTGAGATTCGCACAATATACTGTCTCCTTGTTTATGCCAATCAATTTGATCAAATATATAGATTTACATAATTTTAGCTTTAAACAATATTACAATCTTGCTTTTTATTGTAATATAGGATTCATAAAGCAAATAGTAATCAGATTTTACCTGCACATTCTTCCTGATATTTGAATCCTCCGAAGGCCCACCAGCAGAAAGTCTCTGTAACTTTTTTTCCGATTTTTTTAAAAGACCAGTTATCTCCTGTGTAAGAGATTCGATCCGGCGTTGATCTTCTTTATCGTCTCCAAATGAAGGCATTAAAGCTTTAGCATGAGCCTTTGCGAGCTCAGCCATTTTCACCCGCAGATGTTGCACATTAGTAGCTATTTCTTCAGATACATCCACCCAAGCTGGTGGTAGACCTACAGCAACTGTACCCTTACTGTATAGTAGGAAAATTAATTTAGATTCTAACAGGAGAATTTGGTCTAACAATACGTTTGGGGTTGCCAGAGGAACTTTAAATATGAAACTAAAAATCACTTCTCTTTGCAAAACAAAATTTTCACACATTCTATGTCACAAGTCAGAAACCAGGTTTCCTGTCAATTGATTTTTAGAAACTAAAAATTACAACTAGTACTAAAATCCAAACGGTTCATTTCTCTTTATTAGCTAAGTGTGAGAACTTTCAAGCATCGGATTCCACAGTCATCAAGTCTAATAACTGGAAAAGTAATGGAACGAGAAGAAGACTTTTGGACAAATATCAATTTTCTTCGTCTCAGAAGACGCTGAAGAAACCAACCTGATTACTACAGCACTTATAACATAGAAAGAGGAATCCAGAGAATGCATACAAGAAAAAGAATGGGCGAGATAACAAACACAAGGAAAGGCCTATTTAATTGAAAGTAGACTCAGGAAAGTTCATTTGAATTTGACAGGAGATCAAATAAATTGGTGGATGAGGTAATCTCATATGATTCAACTCTACTGTTACAAAATATTGTTTTTGCCCAACGGCTTAGTACAACTTAATTTAAGTGGCTCCAGGAATTTT